TTTAAAGCGGGAGAAACAGGTTTCCCCAGTAACGGCTGTACACAAAACAGCGCTGAGCTCACAAACACTGCTTTATCAGACATATAACATGCGAGATTAAATGAAAATGACATCGAAAATTTTCTAAAGATAGAAAAGACTTTCTTCAGAAATACAGTGATATAAAAACACCCGCGCCTCGTTTTGATTTTTAAACGTGCAGTACGTGCTCATGTTTATTCAACAAAGCCTTTTGGAAAATCAGTCAGTTTTGATATTGTGGCGAGCGCCACAAATAAATACATTTATGGGAAACACATCCCACAGCACAACCACCTGAGCCCAACTTCAGTCTACTCATCACCTTAACTGCGTTTGTAGTTGGTGCCATAGCCAGACTGATAAACAAACACAGTCCGGAAGTTAACTTCGGGCCAGGCGCGTGCACCCGATGAAACCGTCTATATATAAAGATAAATAAGTTATTTATTCTACTTTACACAGGGCGGTCCCTCTGGCCATTTTTCAGGCTGAAGAGAGTGTTAAAAAGCATTTCTTACGCAAATGGCTGAAGATGCCCAGTCTCCATGACCTTGATATTAGATCTGTGAGTTTATTTTATTCATTAAGTGTACCCTGGATTATCACTAACCATGATATCACATTTGCACTGTTGGCTTTTTCATTGTCATTATGTTTTCTATTTTTCATATATTATTTGTTCCTTTCCCATGTCAGATTCTGGACTGGGGTTACTATATTGAGCGGTTGGGCAGTGCCATACAGAAGATCATCACTATCCCTGCAGCTCTACAACAGGTAAATAAACATGCACTGTCAGTTTAACCCCTGTGAGTCCTTGAAAATCAAGCACTAAATCCTGTTGCCTTCCACTATAGTCAAAATTTTTGTCCTAACCAAGACATAGTCACAACATTTTGTTGGCAATCTGTCATGTATCTGTCATGTTGCACTGAATTGCCCCACCCACTGTGAAGTCTCATTGGTGCAGAATTCCACTCTACATTACTGTATATTAGGGATGGGAAGATTCCCCGATTCGCTCGGTGCATCGGCATAAAAAGTTACCGATGCAATGCATCGGTTTAAAAAGCGTGCATCGGCTACAAGTTGGCATTTATATCACGATGCATCGTTTCTAACATATTTGCATCGGTAAAAACCGATTCATTTATATATTGCCCCACCCACTGTGAAGTCTCATTGGTGCAGAATTCCACTTTACATTACTGTATATTAGGGATGGGAAGATTCCCTGATTCGCTCGGTGCATCGGCATAAAAAGTTAACGATGCAATGCATCGGATTAAAAAGCGTGCATCGGCTACAAGTTGGCATTTATATCACGATGCATCGTTTCTAACATATTTGCATCGGTAAAAACCGATTCATTTATATATAATTACTAGTGGATGCGCTATACTTTTATTATTTAGAAAGTGTCGAATAATCTGTGACCAATATTTTATATGTCTAGTGGATGCGCTATACTTTTATTATTTAGAAAGTGTCCAATAATCTGTGACCAATATTTTATATGTAGATTGATTTCTCCTCTCTAAACTGTTTCTCAAGCGCGCTCTCTCATCACCGCTGCTGCTGCGTGAATATGACGAATCACAACACTACGGAGACCCAAGGAAAATCTGGGAGTCCAAAACCTGGCTTCAAATAACCTAACAAATCAATCGGGGCTAAAGCGGTTCCATTAACGACAAATTAAATTCACACAATCTCACTAATTTGTGCACGCTTATTCTTAAGCAGACCTTAATATCGATCATGGATCAAATCGATCCACCATGACAAACAGCGAATATATCTGTGCTGTTTAATGCATTTGAGACGTCGTGTTTTCCTCAGTGCATAACTGTCATGTCACAGGTATATTTTTCATCTGTAAATGTTAGAAAGTCATGCAAACATATCCATTTTGCTGTCAGGAGTGGGCGAGGCACGCGAGAGCAACGAGCGCTGCTGCAGCGCGCATGCACGCTAAACAGACAGAGCGCAATCGAACAGGAGCGCAATAATTCTGAGTAAAATATACATTTTACTAAAAAATTTGTTGTTCGACTTTAAATGTGTCTTTTGTAGAATTTTAAACCTACATATAAAGTGCATTTTTATGATAGCAGTAACTGTAATTTGACTATTGTAATCGGTAAATCAAATGTAAGTTAGTAGGCTACAGTACTAATTACTATAAGCTCAAATGAGTTAATGTGTGTTTCTATGAGTCAGACTAACTGAAATAAGCCTGGCTTATTTGGTTAACTTGTTTTATGAAACAGGCCTCGAGGCATTAAAAGTGAGCATATTTTCTCCATTGCATCGTATTGCATCGAATCGAATTGAAATTGGATCGCATTGCATCGTAACAGGGGTGAATCGTATCGCATTGCATCGGTAGCTGCTTCATATGTATCTTTAATGTATCATATCGTTGGCTATGCATCGATTTGAGCTGTGCAGCGCTTAGAGTGTAGAGCCTGGTTTATACTCGCTGTGTCAGTAGGAGCGCGAAGGTGCACGCTGCAAAAATGACGCAAATATTGAGGAAACGATGGATGGTTTTCAAGCTAAAGTAAAGTAAAAGACCGTTTCATAAACCAGAGAAGGTGAACATTCTTGTGGGACAAAAACATGCAAGCTCTGTCACCGACAGCAAGTTTAGTTTTACTTTTCTTTTATTTTTGTTTTCATTTTGAAAAGCTTGTTATCTTTGCTGTTTACCTCACGCTACGCTATGGAGGCTCTCTTTTTATTTATTTGATTCCTCAGTGTTTGCTAAACGTTCTGTAATTTATTAGTCGGTATATAATACAGCATGTGGTGTATGCCATGCCTCATCTTATTCGTTTTTGTTAATAAACGTTTTGTAAGCTAGTTTGTCATTGTATCTTACTGTTTTATTGTTGTTGTGCTTTTTAATTAAGAATAACAATGAATCCATCTTTTGTTTTAGTCTTAAAAAGTGAAAGGTGTGTAGATGTATGTAAGCAAAACAGACAATTATCTTTTCTTGTAAAACGTGACACCAAGATCATGAATTCGAAAGTGAAAGCACCCGAAGCCTGGCTTATAACAGCAAAAGAGGAACTCCTGTTCAAAAAAATTAAAATCACAAATAATACTACTGATGAAAAAGAACGGGTTGAATGTTAACCTCTTTCGTTTCCATATAACTATAAACTATGATAAAAGTTCATCAGCATGCATTAATTAATCCCATGTTGTAGCGCAAAAAAAAAAAAATTGCGACCAAATCATGTGCTCGTGCTCTGAGAAAGTGAGAACTGAGAAAGTTAGTCGCAAAAGAGCGACCAGTGGGAAGAGTGAGTCTGGAGCCCTGTACTTTCACACAACTTGCTGGCTGGCTGCTTATATGCACACATTTTGTCTCTCTCAGGTGGCCCATCAAACGTTACCAGCAGGTGAGACTCCTGATATGGAGGACTTCGGTGCTCCTCAGCATCCTGTGCAGCCCGCCATACTCATCAGCACAAAGAGGAAGAGGATATCTCAAGGAGAGGACAGCCAGGCTGAGTCTCAAGAGCAAGAACTCACACAGTCTTGGAGAGAAATACTGGGGCCACCACCAGTTATGGGCGCCACTCGGGTAATTCAGGCACCATAACAATGTTGTACATATGATCAGAAATTAGGTTTTGTTATAGTATTTCTGTGCTGTCAAACAAAAGAAAGGCTCCACAGTAAAATCATCTGTATATATGTGTGTATAGGAGGAACTTCTTGTCTGGTTGCGCTACCATAAGAAAAAATGGGAGCTGCAGCTTCGTCAGAGGAAAGAACGGCGGAAGCGACGGCGTTTGATTGGGGAATCTCAGCCGACTGGCGGTGGTGTAATCCGTGGTGGACTGACAACAGGGCTAGGCAGCTTCCTGCGAAGAACCGCCCGCAGTATTCTAGACATGCCCTGGCAAATTGTACAGGTATGTCACACTAGCAGTTTAGATCTAGGGTTGGGTATCGAAAACCGGTTCTATTTTAGAATGGTTCCAAATTTTCAAGAACCGGGTATTCGATAAGACACGTGCATTTCGATTCAATTTAACAATTCCTGCGTTCACATTTAATGAGATTAAAACGATTTAAGTGCGGGAACGAAAAGAACTTGAACCCTGTTTACGAGCAGAGCTCACGTCTGAAGCGCGAGCATAGAGAACAGCCGCCTCGGTGCGGGTTCCCAGCCTGTGTCCGTTCTCAAACCATTCTGTGCATTTCCACTGCAGAAAAGGTTGTTCCAGGCCAGCACTGACTTCTTTCATGTTTATCAACCAGTATACAGAAAACTACATCAGTACAGGTGCATCTCAATAAATTAGAATGTCGTGGAAAAGTTCATTTATTTCAGTAATTCAACTCAAATTGTGAAACTTGTGTATTAAATAAATTCAATGCACACAGACTGAAGTAGTTTAAGTCTTTGGTTCTTTTAATTGTGATGATTTTGGCTCACATTTAACAAAAACCCACCAATTCACTATCTCAATAAATTAGAATATGGTGACATGCCAATCAGCTAATCAACTCAAAACACCTGCAAAGGTTTCCTGAGCCTTCAAAATGGTCTCTCAGTTTGGTTCACTAGGCTACACAATCATGGGGAAGACTAATGGTCTGACAGTTGTCCAGAAGACAATCATTGACACCCTTCGCAAGGAGGGTAAGCCACAAACATTCATTGCCAAAGAAGCTGGCTGTTCACAGAGTGCTGTATCCAAGCATGTAAACAGAAAGTTGAGTGGAAGGAAAAAGTGTGGAAGAAAAAGATGCACAACCAACCGAGAGAACCGCAGCCTTATGAGCATTAACACAGCCATTTTTGTCTTAAGTGAACGTAAACGGATGAGAAAGAAAACGCACGTGTACAGTATTTTTAGATCTGTGTGTGTTTGGTGTTAAAGAGACAGCAGCCTAATAAACGCGCTGCCTGTCATTAATGTTAATCAAAGAACAAAAGAAAATCATTCACTGGTCTTGACTGAATATATTTAATAACTTTAATCTATATTTTATTTATGAAAAGAAAATTATGCAGCGTTTTTAAACTTTTAATTACAGTTTCTGTACCTGAAATGTGGTGTAGTTTGTAATGTTATTTATTTATGCTATTGCTAGGGATGGGTATCGTTTACATTTTATCGATACTGATACCGATTAGGGATGGGTCACGTTTTTTGAATATTTGATTTGTTGATTTAATTATAGAATATCGAATAGGTTGTACGATTATTGTTTAAGGGTGTACTCACACTAGGCGTGTTGAACCGTGCCCGATCGCGTTTGAGCCCCAAAGCCCAGTTCGTTTGACTAGTGTGATCGCTCCGTGCTACGCCCAGGCGCGGTTCGTTAAGCCGTCTCGGGCTCGGTTGGAAGAGGTGGGGCCAGGGCACGGTTCAGTTGGGCTCGGGGCCTTGTGTGTTTTTGACAGTATTAGCGCAATCAGACGATAACTAAGATGACCCAAGTAATCAAGTGCTGTTTGACCGGCCTTTTAGTGTGCGCACACTTCAGGTGTACGCGTTTTGAATAAGCCCATGTCAGAACAGCACACGAATGAAATGTTTAACTGGCAAGGCTTTAAAGCACACGCAAATAATGTACTTTTGTGATTGCGAATAAGTGCAGTGTCTCGTGTCTTCTACTGCTGAATTAACATTTTATGTGAATGTGTCTCGCGAGTTGCAGTTGGAGCCGGGAGACATAGTAAATACAGCGCATTGCTTGAGGTAGATATTGTGTTTTGTTAGTAAATGTTTCATTATATTACTAGTGTTGCCTCCTTTGTTCACTATTACACTACTGCATATATTGCATCTGACACTGCAGCGCTCCAGACTGCGACCATTTTTTCTGCCTGTGCGAGTAAATTTTGTGCGCTTGTTCAACTCGTGCTGCCATTTGTCACATATGAGAGACAGCATATGGCAAACGAAACAAAAGCGTAACAAAATCATTTGAGCTGCGCAGCGCGGACCGTTCATCAGCTCGGACCGCAACGCAAACAAACTAGTCTGAGCTCAGAACAGCTTTACTCGGGAACCAAAGTTGATCTCGCGACACTGTTACAGCACAGCGCTGCGAGATAAAGTGAGAAGTGGTTGAATTCGCCGCAGAATGAATAAAGATTGCTGCAAGATCTAGTGAGAAGTGTTCAAATTCTGCACAGAAATCTCTGTTATAAACGGATCAAACGGTGCTGACGCAAAAAAAAAAA